AGTAGCAGTAGCAGTAGCAGATAGCAGCAGCAGCAGATAGTAGCAGTAGCAGTAGCAGTAGCAGTAGCAGTAGTAGTAGTCAACTTAGTATTGAACTAGTGTGCGTGGTTCTGAGCTCGCCATTGAGACTAGATGAATCCATTCTGGGCCCCCGCCCCTTAAAGCAGTGGAAAGCGTACAAACACGCTGTGATTCAACAACCAGGATGTCCAGAAATCGATCGTTTCTCTGAACCCTCGCTGGCCCATGGCCCGAGTCCTGAATCCTGCGCTAATTACGATATGGGGTTTATGGGGTTCAGTCTCGTCTAAGGTTAACCGTTTCGGATGGTCGAGGGTTTAGGGTTTAGGGTTCAGGGAGGTGGGGTTTACGGCGAACCGCAGACTGTTGGAACTTGGATAATTAGTGCTAGGATCCCTTCTGTTTGACCTTAAGGGTACCCTTATAATGATGTTCCAACTTTCTGGATTCTACTTTAGGGTTTAGTCTCGCCTAAGGTTAGAGGTTTCGAGTTGAGGGTTCAGGGTTCAGGGAGGTTCTGGGTACCCCTAAACCCTAAACCCTAAACCCCTAAATCCTAAACCGTGGCTCTAGAGCCAGTCTGAAGCAGAGTTTGGGCTCTCGGTTGTCTGTCTTTTAAGACTTATGTCTCAGGGCACCGCCAGGGAAGTAAGCACCGTCACCCTAAACCCTATAAGCCCTAAATTTACACCAAACCCTAAACCCTAAACTCCAAACCCCAAGCCCTCTCCCTAAACCCTATAAGCCCTAGGCCCTAAGCCCTAAATCCTAAATCCTACGCCCTAAACCCTATAAGCCCTAACCCTGAAGCCCCTCGACAAGGATGAAATCCCTAAACCTAAAGCCCTCCCTAGCCCAACACAAGCCCGCTGGCCCGGCAAGAGCCCTCTGAAACCCTCATCAAACTCACGAACTTGCTGAACCTAATAACGAAATCCTAAACCCTAAACCCCTTCAACCCTCACCCTTAACCCTAAACCCTTAACCCTTTAAACCCTAACCCTAAACCCTAAACCCGAAACCCTGCAAATGGATCGCATAAACCGCTGAACGCCGTCCTGGATTGATCTTGGACGGATGGCTCCGGCTGGACCTGGATCTGCGAGCCCGCAGGACTTAGGGCTTAGGGTCTGGGGGTCGGGGTTTAGGGGTTTAGGGTTTAGGGTTTAAAGTGTTGAGGGTTACATGTAGAGGTCCCTTACAGCCTGTATGTCCGTCTACCTATCTGCCTATGTATCTATCTACCCGCTAATCTACCGAACTATCTATCTGCCAAGTTGTTCATCTAGCTACAACACCCCATAACGGACCACGAAGCCCTACTCTAAGCGGTACGCGCCGCCGGACCGTGGGCAAGAAAGGTTTTAGGGCCCAGGCCTAAACCCTAAACCCTAACCCCAGGGCTGTGGAAGCTTAGGGCTTGAGCTCCGGGGTCTGAAACTTGATGAATAGGGGTTTAGTTCATGTAGGGTTCAGGGGCTTTGGGTTTAGGGGTTTAGGGGCTAGGGTCTAGGGTTTAGGGTGTTGAGTTGAGGGTTACATTAAAAATGTGTTGACCCGCACATGTCGTACTAGCTTCCTGCTGCTAGCACACAGACGAAGACAGGGTGCAGCAGCATCCGACCTTGTAGTAGCGCTCATACTGGGCAAGGGTCATCTCGCCGTGGTGATTGAGAAAGGTCACAAGTCACGCTGAACAACGGTCACCGGCTGAGTTTGGAGTGGAGGGCTTGAAGGTTTCCGGCTTTTCTCATGAAAGTTTAGGGTTTAGCGTTTAGGGCCTAGGGCTTAGGGTTTAGAGCTTGAGGGCGTGGAAACTTTGAAGACACAGGCACTTCAGCTCAATGGGATGAATCAGCCAGGTGGAACAAGCAGATTCACGTGTTGGCCTTAACGAACAAAACCATTAAGGGGTCTTTTAAAGTGCAGTAGCCCCGAACTTGCTTAAGGTTTAGGGGTTTGGGGTTTAGGGTAAAATAACAACAGAGTACTCCTGAGCCCAGCTGCCAGCATGCCCTCCAGCCTCATCATCAGTACCTGTGCAAGTTCAAGCCGTGTAGAGGCTGCTTTATCAAGGCCGCAAACAGAAAGATCACCCTTCTAAGTCTTGCGATGGCGAGTCTCTGCCCCCTAAACCCTATACCCTAGAAAAAAAGCTTGAACTACGGCACTCAAGCAGACTGTGGGCTGTTGTGAGTGGTGGGTCGGCTGAGGCTGCCAGGTTCCGGTGCCCTGGGCCTCTGCCCTGAACCCCACTTGGAGGGTCGGGGGACTTAGTAAGTAGGTAGTAAGTAGACTTATAAGTACCCTAACAGGGATCCTAATTGGGGTTATGATACTTAAAAGTCTAAACCCTAAACCCTAAA